TAAATTGTAGAGACTCACCTGCAACACGAGTTGGGAGTGAAACATGTTGTATCAGCTGCAGCTCCTTCCTCCTCCTCGTGACTCCGACATGTTTACGTTTATCTCCGTGGTTCTCTCGTGTCGTGTCGGTGATTTTCAAAGCGACATGCTTCTCATGTTTTATCTTTGTGAAGTTCTCCCACTCTTTGGAGGACTTGGGTCGAACAGTTTTCGCTGCGTCGGTCATTTGTAAAATTTACTTAAATTTCCTTTAAAAACACAGCCTCTGCTCTGCCTCCCCCCTCGCTCTGTTCAACTCGCGCTGCAGTTTTTTTTTTTTAAACTTTATTCAGTCAGTCAGCATTGACAATGAACTGCCCGTGAACAAAACGAAATGGCTCCACAGTGCCGTGAAAGACGCATAATCGCGCGACACAACGAATCGATAACGAAATTCGTTGCCAACGCTTTTAATCATCGATTTTTATCGATTTTATCGATTTGTTGTTGCAGCCCTAGATCAATCAATTATTAAATCGACTAAAATTATTTTATTTGAAAACACTTATATTTAGTAAGGTTTAATTAATATTATCCAAAATTCTACTTTTTGGTAGGTCAGTGAAGGTTTGTTGTAGGATAAAGAGATTAATTATAGTAGGGATGCACGATATTATTGGCATGGTATCGGTATCGGCCGATATTAGCGATAAAGTTAAATATCGGACATCGGACATTCCATCAAATTAACTCACTGATATAAAAAGCTTCTGTTTTAAGTTAATTTTTAATTTAAGAAACGATCAAGTATTAATACACTACTACTTATACGCTTTTGACTTATCGCTTGTGAACAGGTTGAGTTTCGATTTGTGAAAATTTACAAACGTGCACTGTTCGAGTGTTGTCATCGTGTTAGAGAGAGTAAATGTCATGAATAAATTTGACATTAAACATAATCCAAATTGAAGCGTTACATCAGCAGACCAAATTAACAAAGACCATGCAGAATAATGTATTTTAATTTCATAGCAGAGAAAGCTATGTAGTCTCTGTAAGTAGGTCTAGGAAAAAATATCACAATTGGTATCGGTTATCGGCCAAATAAGTTTTAACATATCGGCATATCGGCCAAAAATCCAATATCGTGCATCCCTAAATTCTAGCTAAATATTTGTTTTGTACTTGATATCGCCCATTTTCAGAAGATTGTTTAAATCTGTTTTGCTTATAACCTAAAAATTTAAAGAGTATCACCATTAAATCTTAAGAAGGTCTACATCTGCATCAACCTCTTAAGCCTCGGGGTCAAAATGATACCATTCTTTAACTGCAGTCGTGGGCCGCACAAATTCACTCCAAGAGCCACAAATGGCCCTCGGGCCACGCTTTGGACACGCCATATTAACGTGCATGTATTTGAATACAAAGTCGTACAGTCCCAGGTCTGTCCAAATACTTGTGTCCTTATCGTGAAGTTCTGTAGAAAGAAAAGGTCAAATCTTTGTAATGTGATTTATTTAGTTTAGTTGTGTATTCTCTTCATTCGATTGTGTTTTTAGACGCCTGTGAAAGTGGCGTACAAGCATAAGAAGGAAGAAGTTTCAGGAGCGACATCATCTCCTTTCGGTCTGCTATCATGTCAATAAAGAGACACCGATACCATCTGTGTTCATTTATACATGAATATTTCATGCTCTGTATCGAGATCATTTTCACGAAGGGTCAAAACATTAAGACCTTTTCTGATATACCAGTGTTTCCAGTGAAGAAATAGTTTCACATAAAAGTAAAAAAAAAAGAAGCTTGTGGACTTTCATCTAATGCAGAGATGGCAGAAAATGTGGAGGATTTCAGTGGATAGCTAGTGGGAGAGGTGGACGAACAGATGGAGAAAGTCTAAAGCACGGTATTGATTTCTGGTCTCCAGTGGAGTCTGACAGGATGCACGCCGCTGCCCTCACATGCTCTTTCAGGCCCGGACTGAACGCTTCATTTTTCTGTCCGTGACTTATCTGAGCAGCTAATGGCTGCCTGCAGGAACAGTGCTGTGCGTTAGTGTTCATCCTCTTTCGTCTATATATGCTCAAAACGTTTACTTGCACCTAAAGCAAGTGAGATGGATTTGCTCTCCGCCCCAAAATGTAAATGTGCTCAGAGCAGATAATATTACACACATTAAGTGACGTAAATCGACCAAAGTTTCCCATTAAGGAGCTTTTTCTACTGCGCTGCAGGAATCTGAGAAAGAGCTTTTTTATTGATGAAAGACCCAACAGGATGTGTGGTTTTAGGACTCAAACTTCTTTTTACTGTTTTTATTCATGACACATCATAAGCTGTATAAAATATATTTAAAAATGTAGTTAAAAAGCTTACAGTTCTGACTTTACCGATGACACTCGACTGGATTTATTTATTTTTCCCTCTTTTTCGTCCACAGCTCAGATAGTCTCATCGACCACGCCATAAGGTTGGTTTTATAGCTCAGTCCGTCCTCCTCTTTCTCTTTTCTGTTATTCTCTGGACACAAACGTATCACAAGGAGTCCCAGCTCATTCTGTTAGCCGTGTTTTAGCTTATCAGCTGAAACGGTAAATGCGGTGTAACTTGACTCCACAAATACTTGTCTGTTCTTGCTGCTAATGGTTTATCTCCCTCCAGCATCGCCATGGCTACCAAAGAGAGCATCACATTTCAGCGTGGGATGTTGAAGTCCATTCAGACCAGAGTCACAACTTTGGCCAGTATCCTTTTTAGCACTAAAATCCACTTTCTTTCTTTCCAAACAACTTTCTCTGCGTTTGCTTTAAATTGGAGATTCGCACCAAGTTGTCTTATTTATATTATTGTGTGAACGCTCATGAAGCATTCACACTTTTGTGATCCATTTTTTTCTGTACATTTTTCAACATGTTTCTCATTTTACAGTTTTTGTGCTACTTCAATAAATCATAAATCAAAACATTTAGCTCTTTCAGAACAATCCTGCTTTGACTTTTGGTATTGGAGCAACTTTAGCTTTTTGAAATATTTTGTCTTTTCTGCCGTTTTTTTCTCATAGAAAATGAATTGAGCTCATTTTAATTCCTTCAAATCTTTAGATCAGTTTACAACCTTTTACTGCTCGTTTCACATTTTGTTCTGGTTCAGCTTCTTTCAGCTTACCAGTACAAATTTAAACTTTTATTTTTTCAGCTAATTTCAGCTGTTTTTCCAGCTGTTTTGTGCTCCTGTCAGGATCTTTCTGCAATTTCTACAACATTTTTGTGCTTCTTCTTACTTTTTTAAGCTAATTTCAGCTTGATGTGCTCTTTTCAGCTTATTTCAGCAAGTTTCAGCTTTTTCTACTATTTAGCTGTTTAATGCTAATTTTGTTTTTCCAGCTAATTCCACAATTCTTGCACTCAACTTTTTTTCAGCCTAATTAAGCAAAAATGTGCTCTCTCCACTTGTAATTTCAGCTTCTTTTTCGTTTTTAGCTACTTTTCAGCAGTTTTTTTTTTGTTGCTAATTTCAGCTTTTTTCAGGTAATTTCTTTTTTTGTGCTCATTTCTGCTCTTTTCTGCCTAACTGGGCAAACATGTTCTTTCTGCTTTTTTATGCTAATTTAAGCTTCTAACTTTTCAGCTAGCTTTTTAGCATATTTATCTCCTGTAATTTCAGCTGTTTTCAGATAAATTCAAATTTTCTTGGTAACTTCTGCTACATTCAGTCTAATTAACATCTTTCCGCTAATTTTATCTTGTCATGCTCCTTTCAGCTTTTTTCTCCTATGTCAGCTACTATTTAGCTGTTTTTATTTTTGCTGATTAGAGCTTTTTCAGCTAATTCCACATTTTTTTTTTGCTGATTTCAGCTCTTTTCTCTTCCTTCTCATAGGTTAAACTTCTTTCTGCCTTTTCGGCTACTTTTTAGACGTTTTTTCTAATTTTAGCTTTTTTAGCTGATTTCCTAATTTTTGTGCTCAATTCTGCTTATTTTAATCTGCTTCAACAAATGTGTTCTTTCTGCTTTTATATGATAATTTAGGCTTGTTCTTCCATTTCAGCATGTTGGGTTTTTTTTTAGCTAATTTCAGTTTTTCATCAAGTTCTTCAGCAATAAGCTGCACTGCATTTTTGCAGGATGTGCAATTTCTATAATTGTTTTATTTATTTTGTCATTTTTAATTATTTATATAATCCAACTGAACTGAATCGAGCTTCATCTGGACAGAAGCATCATTAACAATCACTTATTTTATTTATTTTTTATTAACCCTGCAGATGAATTTTCCTCTGCTGCTTTTTTATTTATTTATTTTTTGTCTCTGATTTGCTGCAAAGAGGGAAGGCCTGGCTCAGACCTTAATTATTTTTCCTTCACCACGATCTCCTCACCCCCGCCACCCCCTCAGATCGTTTCCCCGCCATCAACAGCCTCATCCAGAAAATCAATCTGCGCAAGAGGCGGGACTCCTTAATTCTAGGTGTGGTGATCGGCGTCTGCGTCGTTCTCCTGTTGCTCTACACGTTCCACTAACCGGACCAAGACGTTTACATGTTTTTAACGTGTAGTTGCTGCTCAGTTCTTGTAGTTTTACCACGAAGGAAGCGTGAAGATATATTTAACTGGGATACTGTTTCTGTTTTTCTTTTATTCCTATTAAAGGTGATGGTCACGTTCACGTCAGTCATGCTCATTCAAGTTTATTTCAGACATGCAGAGCTATGGCACAGTAAACCAGTCATACAGTATAAATGTATAAAGAGATCAGTGCATACAAGGAGGAACTTGTCCCGTTTGTCACTTATACTGTAAACATAGCAAGGAGTCTGTACAGTCAGCGTGCAAAGCAGGACACCACAGGAGGACAGCAGAAAGACATATTAGATTTAAACGTGTAAACTTGAAAACAAGTGAAGCATCTTCAAACAGCAGCAAAACACCCAAAGAGAGAAATGTATGTTACAGGTTGTTTTTTTAAAGGCTCTCACCACATACAAATCTGATCATTTTTGAGAAAAGGTTGACTTTTTTTTTTTTAAAGCTTTCGATTATACAGTATATATTTTTGTTTGTTTTTTTAGTGGCTGTGAGAGGAAGGAGAAATGTGCATCTGTGCTCCATTACTTCAGTCGACAGGTTCGCCTCCACAGATTTACAGTCCAACACAAAACCTTCACTCCCTGCTCCTCCTTTGACTCCTGAGTTTGTCCATAAAGGGGGAAAAATAAGTTGGACTCTGGATTCTCTCAAGATGGTTTTCATCCCAGATTTTGTGCTTTTTGCATCTTCCAAAAATGACAATCCTCCTCCTCCTCTTTCTTCTGTGCAAATCCGAGCTCCTCTGAAGCAGGAGACTCTTTCCATCCCACAGTTCATGGCCGGTTCTCTGAGGGACAGAGAGAGGAGACATTAACACACAGCCATGCTCGTGTATTTGTTTCATGTTTGTCCTTCATACCTAAAGTATACACTATGAAGATGATCACAGCCACACCCATTGGTATTGACAGAGTGCTGAGCAGCACTGATAGACGCTGGTACTTCCGTGCTCCATCAATGTCTCCTGTGTGGAGAACTGACCTGGACTACCGGGAAAGTGGAAGGAAATGAAACATTAATAATTGATCAGCACCGCAGGAGCAAACCACCTGTGGTGCTTGACAAGCATAAGGACAAATAAGGGTTACAGCTGGGTGCGTAAAGCTCCAACAAACTGATAGTTGATCAAAGCAGCGCTCACCACGAGTGCGTACCACAGGGCGAAGATGTTGAAGGGCGGCGCGGGGCAGAAGCAGGAGAACACGGCCAGCCAGAGGTAGAAGGAGGGCGCGGACCCGGGCGGCACCGGGGAGGACAGCTGGCCCAGGCTGATCCGGGAGGTGGATCTGGGTGGGGCGGACAGCTGCCCGACGGAGCCCGACTTCAGCGGGGACCTGTGGCCGTCCTGCTCCGCGTCCAGGGACCGGACGCTCCCTCTCACGTTCAGGGAGAAGGAGTCGGACGGTTTGAGGTTGGTCTCCCCGGTGGGCTCGGCCATGGCGGTGCTCAGCAGCTTCTCCGTGTCCTGGAAGTCGGTCGGGTTGGAAACTTCTCTGTCGCCGAGGGCGCTTTTCCCAAAGGCGGCATCCGTGTTGATGGCCATCGCTGAGAGATGGGAGTGATCTCTGTCCTGCTGGTGGAGATGCTGAAAAGTCTTCCCTCAGATGTTTCCCTTTGGGGGGTCATCAGATTAAATAATCCACATTCAGAATAGAGTCGAGGCAGTCTTTTTAATTAAGCAGTCTAACTCCATCCAAATGTCTTATTGATGGCCAAGATGTTAATGGTGTCTGAGGCGCTCTGGCGTTCAGCTGCCGGTGACGCACGCCTTGATTTTTTACCCCTCCACCCCCTCCTGTATCATGTAGTAAGGAATTACCGCATCCCTCCTCTCCACAGCACACCCCCAGCACCAGAGCCTCACTTAAGCATCAGGCGAGGCTCGAGCCGAGCTAAAAAACAATTATTAAACCTCTTTTGGAGAGAACACCCGCGGTGGGTAAAAGCTTTCCATTTACGCGCGACGGCAGCAGCTGGATCAGCATTTAGGACGCAGCAGCGAAGAGTGTTTAATGGAGAAAGGGAACACAAAATCTTTCAAAACCCCCCCCCCCCCCCCCCCCACACACACACACACACACCTGCTGACTTAGAAACTCCTGAAAAGTTTGGTCGCTGAGACCATTAACTGATGTTGTCTCGTGAGAAACGCCAGACCAGATGTTTTGGGTTTCTTTGCGTAAAACTCAAGATAACAAGGGTCTTCTGGTCCCTCTGGTTGGCACAAACTTGCATCATCTTTATTTATTTAATCAAAAACTGATATTTTTGAAATGTTGAAGTTGAGGTTTATGGATATGAACAATTAATATCTTACATGTCATAGATAGCTTTTCAAACGATCTCAGATTAGAGAACTAGAATTAAGATTGCGTTAGACCAGACTGAATATTAGTCCAAGTGACATCAGATCTCCAGAATCTCACAACTGTTCATGCAAACAAAAGTCTGGACCTTTTACAGTTACTCTTGATTATTTTGAAGTGCAGCCTGGCAAACCTCTGGTGAAAAAAAAAAAAAACGCCAATATAACAAAATATGACAAAATTACTTTTTAAATCAAGTCCACTCAGACCAACACGTGGTTGCTTGTCAATGCAGTCCAAACCTATCTCATTCCAAAATGCGTCCTACTGTCTTAAAATAAATCTAATCAACACAGTTTTATAGTGGTCCATGCCAGGTATTGCTATACATGCTATTAATTAAACCTTTATGTTACCGTAAGTTTTACAACACACTGTTATTTCAGCAAAAGTATCACAATGTTCTTGCAGGAAGTGCACCAGATGTTTCAGCCAGCTGCAGCTGCTCCTATTTGCACTCATGTTGCAGCAAAATTACTGTCACGTAAAAGTGACAGTGAAATAAAAGTTAAAGGTGTTTCCAGAACCAGTCATTAGCTTGTCCGTCCTATAAATGTCGTTTCTCCTAAATTACCGTAATTTCCGGACTATAAGCTGCTACTTTTTTCACAGGCTTTAAACCCCTCAGCTTATACAATGCTGCAGCTAATTTATGTTTTTTGTTTGTTTGTTTGTTTGTTTTGACCGGCTAACGAACTTCATACAGCCAAAACATTTAGCCTCGTCACACCCGGGCGCTCGCAAGCTGCCCAATACACGTCTCTCTTGTGGGGTGGGTCCTCATGACTCAATGAGACCTGCATAAATAAAGGTTTAAAAGAAAATCTGACCAATGAAATTACCGAACAGATCACAGTGGATCAAAGAAACTTCGAATTACCATAAATCAAACCCGCTCACACTAAAATCTTCAGATCAGTTATTTTGTGCTTCATGCACCTATCATGGAAAACACACGAATAAATAAATCAATTTTAACCAGGCGTGTTGCAGGTGCCGTTCAGGAAAAAAACATTTATTGTATGTATTTAATTAAAAGTTTAAAAAAACCTTTGTGTGTAAATATCTCATGTTACAACGTGAACACCCATGGCTTAGACAAGCATGGCCTATATATGCATCATTTTTTATTTGGTGGGCGTGGCTCATATTCAGGTGCTCTCAATAGTCCAAAAATTACAGTAGGACATTTATTGAGCTATCTACAACAGGTAAGATATTAGTTGTTCATAGAGCCCAACTTCTAAATGTCTAAAATATCCCTTTGACCAAGATAGAAAGTGACGATTGTTGCTCGAGTTATTTGAACTGATCCTAAATGAGATGGTTTGGGGGTGAGTTGGACTTTGGAGTTAAAGAAAAGGAGCCAACAAGGTCTAAAAACACCCTACAGATATGAAGCAGCGTAATATGATGTAAAGAAAACTGCTAAAAAAAATCAAAGCGTAGAAATATTTAGAAAACTGCTAAATGTACATATTTTTCTAACACTTTTCTCTCTAGAACATAAGTTTATGTAATATAGTTTAAGTTTAGATAGTGACATTACAATGTTATAAAAACTGTCAAAGCAAATAAATTCCTGTCGGTGTGTCCAACAGCTCGTTGTGCACACAGATAAAAACTTTATGGATTGAATCAGCGCTTTGTTGAAGGTAACAGAACTCAAGAACCCAAGCAGGCGAACGACTGATTAAGCAACAAATAAAACCAATAATAAAGGATGCTGACACAAATAATAAATAATAAAACTCAGGTTTGATCCAAGATCTGACAAGCACAAAGGAAATGATGCAACAAAATAAGACAGGAAGTCACTGGAATAAGACCATGGAACTACAAATACAGTGAGAACAGAAACCAACAGAAGCTGTAGCAAAACCCCTGCTGGAGACCTCAGCTTTTTAAAACTAATTTATTTAGGTTTTATTTATTATTATTATTATTATTATTACATGCAGATTTTTACAAGCAGCAGCCTCAGTTTAGGAGTTGGACCTCCTGATGTTGAGTTTTAATAATCTAAGTCAGACGTAAATCAGATTTACAGTTATAATCAGTATTTTTAGCAAATAACTTAAGTCACAAGAATATTTGTTGAATAATAAATCAAATTTTACTAATGCTCTAAAACAGTTTGTAAATATTTATCTTTCCTATAGAATTGTGATGTTGCTGATCATCTGCTCGAATGGTTCGGAGCTGCAGTTTTATCTACACTTGGTGCAGAATGACGTGCTGTGTAATTTACAGCAACCTTCTCATCAGATTTTTATCTGTATTTTGCTTTTAAAAGTTAAGGCTTAATGTGATTTCTGACATTTTCTGAGCATTAAACGGTCACTGAACGAGCTTCTAATTGATACAGTAACAGTTTGGATGCTAAAAGGTAAAATTATTACTAACATTCTGTTTTGTGAACGTTAATTTTACTTTGCTGCACATTCCTCAGTAAAAACATGCACGTTTGATGGAGATTTTTCTTTGTTTTCATGCTCTAACAGCAACTTGGTGTGTTTTGAGTTTTCCTCTTACAGCAACTGAAGTTGTTCGGTTCAGCCTTACAGTTGTGGATCTGCTGATAAATGAATTTCAATTATTATTATTTTTTAATTTCAGAGAACATTTTAAAAACATGGTTAATGCTTCTAAGACTTTCCACTATAGGCTGCTGTAGCATCTTTAGGACTCATCAGAACAAATTATGGTGCTTTATATCAATGAAAAATATGTTCATTAGAAATAAAAGTTCAAATGGCCCACCAGATTCATTCTTAAGAGGCACTCTCTTCTACAGTCTGTTTCCTGGAGCATTACGTCATCTGCTGGTGGTTGTAGGAAGCACACCAACTCAGACTACAGGGAAACTTCCTTTGAAACTGTTGGTCAGCGAGAGCAGATTTTATGAATCGTGTTCATTTCTTGGCACAACAAACCACCTCCGCCCAGATTTACAGCTCAAAGACATCGTTAAAGACACTTCTAATCTATTTATCTTATCTTTATTACTTTAAAAAGTACATCACTGGGTGGCATGGTGGCTCTGTTGGTAGAGCTGTTGAAGGGCGTTGGTTCAAATCCCGGCCTTTTGGGTGGAGTTTGCATGTTCTTTCCGTGCATGCGTTTCCTCCCAAAGACCAAAAACATGCATGTTGATTGGTAATTCTGAACTGTCCCCAAGTGAGTGCGTGTCCCTGTGATGGACTGGGGACCTGTCCAGGGTGTTCCCGCCTCTCGCACAGTCATGTGCACCAGAGAACCCCACAACCGGAAAAGGAAGAAGCAGGTAAAAGATAACGGATGAAAGTACGTCATAATTTCATAAATTAACTCTTTCACCGTCAGATGGATCATCTGGTGATTTCACAAGTGAACATGCTGTGAAGGAATTCAGTGAAGCAGCCGAAGACGCCTTCAGGCCCTGCAGAACAGAATATAAAGTTTTTCTCTTCCTCTTAGGTTATGCGTTACTTTTGGCTATTAAAATTTTACAAACTTCTGCTTTGCGTCATTTTGTTTTTTAAAATGGTATTACCAGATTCTTCAGCGTTCAGAACAATTAAGCGTGATCCATTCTTGTTGGCGTTTTAAGACAGGCATGTGTTTTATTGCAGTGTGCACTCGGAACATTTTGTTCTGTGTTGTAAGGAGAGAACAAACAAGCAGATAAACAAGTATTTATTTGTGAGGAAAGGACATCATGTGACCTAAACATACATGAAAGCCGTGTTTAATGTGGTTGACACATGACTAGGAACAGTGACGAGGAAATCCTGTTGAATACAAAAGTCCAGTTTGATTGCAGAGCCTTTATTCCCACCAGTACACATCCTCTTCCTCCTCTTGAGTCATGCAGAGCAGGGCAGACCAGAGCAGTTCTTCAGCTGGCAGCTTTAGCATGTGTAGAGGAACATAAAGCTTGCCAGTGAAGAACTGCTGTGAGTCAGCCATCTGGGGCCACGGGTGAGGGAGCACTGCTCAGACCAGACAGCCGGGAGTGACGCACGGTCCTGCTAATGGCATGCACGGTGACTCCTTCTTCCTGCTTCTGATTTAGTGGTGTGCGGTTCTGCAGGAAGAAGAAGAAGAATAGACGCTTTAGCTTCCTCTGTAAAGTTGCTCCGCAAGAAGCAAGAAGCGTAGGCTCGAGGTGGCCTGCAGCCAGCCGCACACAGACAAAGTGGGCGCAGGC